TAAATCTGATAGAGATTTCAACTTCTGGACTTCGACGTCCAACATCTCTACCTCGGGTATATTGCGAACGTTAGCTTCGAGCGCAGCCTCGATGGAGTCTAAATTTTTCTCGGAGGCCTCTAATCCTTTCTCCGTAAGTTTTTGTCTTGCAAGAGTTAGTATAGATTCATGCAATTTGTAGGGTTTGATGACGCGGTCTTTGGTGATTCCACTGATTGTGTTTTGGTGCGTTCTAAGCGTCGAAGGCATTTTGAAATGCCGCCGGTGACAAACAATTACGATTGGATTCGATAAATAAAGGGTGTGATGGATAATAGGGTGGAAATGGGCAACTTGGGATTCTCGAATTGTACGATTCTGTTTGTTTTTTTTTTATAATTCTCTTGTCTACCCTATACAGGATTCATAGCTTTACTGTGGATTCTGACTGGCGCATCTGTGCTGAGGTCATCATGTGATCCCCACATGATGATAAATCAACTTTTACGTCTAAGAAAAACCGACCGAGTGTGGTTTTTTGAATTTAACTTCAATTAGCCCGATCAGGCACCCTATGGGTCCATGCAGGTGACTATCTGCATTTTTTTTTTTTTTTGCATCAGATTTTAATTGCGTATGCAGCTATCTAGCTATGACACAATATCAGAGAAAAGTACAGAATAGATGATTCAACGTAAAGGAAGAGCACTCATGCCTCGGATTTCATTTGCAAGTACCACTGCGAAGTTATGGCGGCTTTTTCTTCACCCCAAGTCAACCCTCATCCGTGAATACCCACCCAGGGGAACGTCTCAAAAACCCTGAGTTATCCAGACATGCTTCCGTCATCCATCAACTTTTCTCCACGCGAGATGTAATCTGAGATGTCTCCTTCCCAAGTGGAGTAGGTGTCCAGGCTACTCAAACCATACCAGAGAACACCACCAGGAGGCGGATCACAACACCGTCCATCGTTTGCTTATGTTTATAGTGTTAGCTGCACTCTCGCAAGCGAAGTCTTGGCGCGTACAAAGCTGAATTCGTAAAACTCATTGCCAAAATTCGAAATTGCACGCTCTTCGAGGTTATATTCTTCCTTTGCATCATCTTGTGAATTGTCCTGATCCCTCTCACGTCTATCCCAAAGAACTGTCTCCCAGATTTGTGCGCCAAGCTTTGCTTCCTCCGGCGGGTGTAAATATCGGCGTGGGCGTGTATTTGGTGACCGGCTGAGGCCAGAGAAAGTCGACGAGAGGTGTGGTCATTGAAATGAGGATGTACTAGGTCGTACTTGTAGACTTGATGAAGCTTAGTTGAGAATCGGACTCTTTGGGAGTGAAAGATTGACATGGTGGAGTAATTTGAATTTTTGCCTCGTGGGCCAACTTTTTTGATATTGCGAAATTTGACTGAACTTGGCTCTGGGAGAATATTTCACTCCCAGGTTCGTAGAGAGCACCACTGACAGGTGTTCAGTCTTGCCCTCCGACTATCTGCATTATTTACAAAGCAGGAACCCAATTTGGTGAAATCCTCCTGATCCTGTCTTTTTATGTTCCTATCAATTTATTTGGTTTACCTTCAGGAAGTGCAGTGTACACTGTTCAGCCCGTGTGGATTCCGTCCTCTCCCCTTCCAGATCTATTTACTTTATCCGACATTGCTACCTCGACTTCTCCTGCCAGTCGAAACTGTTTTATCCACCCTTTGTATAATATCCACTGTGTGATTCTAGCCACATCTTCTTGGCTTTTCATCATTGCTTCGAATGACCTGTCTTTAGCTTGTCGGAGAAAGTCGCCTCTTCCATCTGCACACTGCGGACACGCCAATACCATATGCTTGACGTTTTGCGACGGATATCCACATTGACAGCTTGGCTTTTCTACTCCAGGTACTTTTCTTCTGCTCAGGTAAGAATTGAGTCCGATATGCTCGCTCCTTAGCTGAATGGCGACACTGCTTTGGGCCCTGGTTAGGTTACGGTGGATTTTTAAGAGGGTATCTTTGAAGTTCATTTTGACGCTGCCTATTTGCTTATCAGTAAATATATTTGCCGCTTTCCAATGTTCTGGATCAGCTGATGCTGGTCGGCCAGGGCGATGTTTCCTGATCTGGCTTGTCCATGAATCCTTCCACTCCTGGAAGGCCGCTATCTTTCCAGCTTCTTTCTGCCTTCTCTTATTCTTTTCCCTTCCGCAAGTTCTTGTCCATTCGGCGATATCTTTACTCCTGGTCAATGCATGCGGAGTTTCTCTCCCGTTTGCGGGCAGCTTTATCCTCTTACATGTCGATCGGATTGTCTCTTGAACTGGGAGTTTATCTGATAGTCCGGCGTGCTGGACCCTCCTTTGTTTCAGGTATATCTCTATAGGGAGGACGGACGATTCGTGCTCTAGCACTCTGCTGCTAGTAGAATTGTAGGCACCTGCAACAAGCTTTAAGCATTTCCTTTGAATACTTCTGAGGGGTTTCACTATTTCGACAACCCTATTAGAAATACTTTTGTAACTATAATATACAATCCATTATTCCTTAGAAAACTACGTAGTTCACCTACTTTCTGGTGCGCATGCTCCTAGAATCATCAGGTTGTATAAGGAAATGGTTAAACTGTCCCTTGCAGCTATTGATGGTGACATGAATTAAGATGATGATTGTGATTGAGATAGATTTCTATATAGTTTATTATACATGATATGCTCAGGTTCAGATACCTCGAGCCAAGCAACCAGATTATGTTCCTCCAGGTCTAGATTCATCAGAATAATTACTTACTCGGTAAAATTCTCCTAGTCTCAGTTGTGTGTTTAGGATCTTGACTAGGTTTCTAGTAACTAGTCATGATGTTTCTCCTATCACTGAGACATAGTCATGGTTGATACAACAGGTACAAACGATGAATCGTGTCTGTACATGACGTTGTGATATAGTCATGATCGTCTGAACAATATCAACTCATGAATGAATCATGTCTCTACATGACAGGTTGCCATCTCATAAAACCTGCGCGAAGGTCTCCCCAACGCAACTTATCTCGTTCTCCCATTCATTCATAGAGTATTATCTGCTAATCTGTCTCTCCTTCCAAGAGTTCCAGGTTCTAAACTACTAAAATCGGGAATCTATCGCCCTACGCCAATATATGATATCACCACGCCAGCGTATTGTGCAATTACTTATAGGTGAAATGAAATTACATACCGTCAGCTTCAGTGGAGAGGCTCAATATAATCGACCATCTTGAACGGTGGTCCTTCATAGCCTTCTTGAGCTCCTTTCTGTCTTGGATCGATCTTATTCTATTTATGGTGAGTCGTTAAATTCGGACTCTTGTAGACGCCTTGATCTCCCTAATCATAGTCAAGTTGTTGGCGAATTTACGTCCTTCAATTTTAGTTCTTAGCAGGACTCCACATACCTCCACGGGTAAACCTTTGACATGGGATCTTAAAGTTATCTTATTTCACAAAGTTTAGAACTGTATTTTTTTGTCTCGCCAACGGAGCAAACATTTCGGGCTCGTTACTTCGCATCTGGCGGACAGCATAGGCCCCTGATATATGTTTCTGTGTACTTGAAAGCAGCTCTGCTGGCTGCAACCTTCCTGCATACCCAACGCGTATTCAAACCATTGAATACGCTATCGACGGTGCATCTACCGACGCGTAAATTATCTGTGCCAGCAATCCTAAAACTGCTTGTGGAACCGCATTTTAAGAAGTGTCCTCAAGACTGTTCTTAAATACTTTCTCCAGAGCCAATATCGTTTCTTCGAAGGGGGATTTTAAAGCCTGGATCCTCTTCTAGGCCTTGTTGTGAGAACTGAAGGCCATTGAGGACTCTGCGATGTCTTCTGTTGTGATGATTATATCATCGTCTTCGTCTCAGTGAAAATCCTAAACTTCTTTATGAGTTGCCTTAGAATGTTATGATCTTTACACATTCGTGCTGTATACACTTCATTGCTTTCAGTTGCGTTGGCCACTGGCGCGGTTTGTGATACATTGGGAACGCTGGATTTCATCGAATTAGATCCAGCACCCGCCATGGTGAGTCACAGAGGTTGACTTGATAGGATGTGGCTAGATAAGCCAAATAAATAGTCATTTCGAAGTCAAATAGATGACAAAGGTAGCGTGGAACGCTGTGCAGCTTTTCGTAGGAACATTTTTTTTTGATATATCATTTATTGTTTTCCACTTAAATAAGCTCCAAGTTTCTTCTGATATCTAGATCAAAAGATGACCTTTTGACTTAGATAGAACTTGAGGTACAATCCTATATTCTCATGTTTTCGCGGAGTGGATATTTATTGGACCAGTTTAATCGTTTACCACTGGATACCGTGTAAATTAAAAACTCGGGAATTGGATTGAGACCAACTTGAATTTGGTATTTGCTATCTTCGTATAATTATCTCTTGAGAATTGGTGTTGAAGTTAGTGAAAATGAATTACCTGGTTATGAAGGTTCCGGGCATTTCACAACGCTAAGGCTGATATAAAATAGATGAATTGTATGTCAATTTGAATTACCGAGCTGTATATTCACAGTATGATAAAGAGGCAGGGAGCCAGCTCTGATGTAGAGATGTAAGAAGTAGATTAGCTATGATTACGGACCATTTGGAGACAGACAGAGACTATATGCTGACGTGCACGTACCACATACAGGCACGTCATCTTGCCTAATGCCATGTTAACGCGAGGCCATAACTTATACTAACGTAGGTTAAATATATCAGTAATAGAAACAAAAAAATAGAGGCTATCTGAAAAGAAGTATCTTGTGAAATCTTAGTGAATAACCTTCGCTGAATGTGACAGATAAAAAATTTTTGTTGATAATGTTGGAGTTATTCTTATCATCAAGAGTTGATTGAAAACCAAGTTGGAAGTATTTGGATGTAAATTCAAACTGACAGAAGAGTTCATTAAAAGGATATGAAAATGTTTGAAGTTAAATCATTTTTTTTGTTACTAAATTTGATGTTGTACAGGGTCTCTAACTAAATAACATTATTTTTGAGAGGCGATTAAAGAGTTTATTACCTAGTTTTGATCAGTTTATCTCTTACTAGAAAAATCGTAGTTCTCACCTCGAGCGCAATGTTGGTCCTGACATTCGAATCCTCACCAGCAGATGTTTCAATGGCTTTTCTTTGAAGCTCTGCAAGATGAGTTCTGGCCTTCTCCATACTTAGTTCCGATAATGGGAAGCCTTCTACTGCATTTATACACAGCTGTGAGTCAGGTTGAACGACGGCAAATCCTCCAGCCACTGTGATTGCTGATTAGAGTGTATTATGAGCTTCACGGGATCAAATTGCTTACAAAAGAACAATTTGCTTTCTCCGTTATCCTCAATGACTTCTACTAAGCCAGGTTTCAATTGTTCGATGGAAGGAACGTGCTTCGCAAGTATACCCATTTCACCAGATTCTGCAGGAATATTTACCTGCCTAACATCTTGCGACTTATAGAGAGACTAATTAAAGACTTAGCGGAAACTTCAATCTACTACAAATACCTCATTTAAATCTGCGAACATGTTTTTTAGACGTTGAAAATTAATGCAAAGTTTTTAACCATTAAGAGAATTTTTCCAGCATGCAAAAATAAATTACCTTGTGAGGAAGAGAAAGGCTTAACTTGATCTACCGGTATGTCAGTAGAGATTGCGGTTCACATCTGTGAGGCCGACCTTATCTATCCCAACTTCGGCATAACCTCTGTGTTGTGCTGGTGAAATGTTTAGCTTCGTGGGAGCCCGGAAAGCTAGGCGAGCTATTCGGAATGATTGCATAGTTTCGTGAAGGATAATTAAGGTTGGTGAGTTGGAGGGTTGTCGGTTGTCGTGTGTAAGTATGCCGTGAATGACTCTAAGCTGAATGAGTCGCATCACGTGATAAGGGATCAGATAATTTCATGATTTCATTCTAAAGCTGGACTTGTGACGACGATGAATAACAATAATAATAAGAAAAACATCATGTTGTCAGAAGAGGCACCACATTCCGTGAATGTTATTCAATCGTTTTCATAATTGTTCCCATCTCAATCAGTCATTCTTATCTGATTCCCTAATTTTTTCACGTTGCGCTTCGGCATGGCGAGTTGGAGAGCCAGAAAGGTGGTTTACGCGGCAGGAAAAATTTTCACGGCACCACCACCACCACCAACGGACAGCGGAACCGCCGCAATCACGGCTGTAGAGTCTCTCGCAAACTCTACAGGCATCAACATGGATACATTAATGACAGTAGGGTTATTTCTATATAAGGTCACAGACAGACTGGTTATCGCAGGCACTGACAAATCTGCGACGCCGATGGTCGAAGTAGGTAAGGCACTCGATGCCTTCAAAGCCCACGCTAGGACATTACAATCGAAGCTGAAGGCTTCACGAATGGAAGAACGCATGCTGGCCTTAGAGAAGGCAGTCAAGAAGAATCTCGAGGAGCCGTCGCGCAAGACGGCTGCTTCGGCAGTACAAGAGATGGTAGGGCGACCCACATACGCCTCAATCGTCGCGCCGCCAGCGACTAAAGCGGCTGTACGAATACGAATCCAAGGAGCAGAAAACATGGAGCCGGCAGCGCTCCTAGACAAGGCGAAAATACACATGGAGGGGGCATACGCAGTAAGGAAGCTGCGGAGCAACGATACGGAGGTGTTTGTGCAGTCGGTCTCTCAGCGAGACGCTGCCTTGAGTATGGCGCAGCCAAAGGAGTTCTGCGTCTTGAAGCAGGATTATCCTGTTGAGATTTTGGGGATCCCGTTGGGGACATTTATAAGAGGAGGTAAAAATCCAAATAACGGCGAGTTCATAAACCAAGTCGAGGCAGAAACAAAAGTTCGGATACCCGAATTAAAAATCAGCAGGGTGAGATGGCTTTTCGACGGAAAAGAGCACCGATGGATGGGAGCTAACGGCCATACTCGTGGGTCAATCGTCGCGAGTCTGCCGACAGAGGCACTTCAACGCGAAGTGATAAGAAACGGCATTGTCTACAACTCAATGCTGTACACGGCCCAGCTCTGGTCACCCCGAGCGCAAATCAAGCAGTGCTTCAACTGCAGTCAATGGGGGCATACCCAAGCCTCTTGCAATAAGGCAAGGAGATGTGGAGGGTGTGCGGGCACCCATCAGACCAGGGACTGCCCGAAGAAATCGGTGCTTTGCTGCAACTGCGGTAAAGCCCATATGTCGTGGCAGAAAGGGGCGTGTCAGAACTTCGCGGAATACAAGGCCAGCGTTCAGAGGGCGCGGTACGGACTCATGGAGAAAACGGTGGACCTAAGACGAGAGGAATTTACACCAACGGAACCTCAAAATAAACTAACGGCAAAAATAGTAGACGACCAGGGGTTCACACTAGTGTCCAGCCAAAGGGTAGAAGGCCAGAAAAGGGGACCAGGACGCCCGCGGAAACAGGTCCTAGTCCCAGCAATACAACCATTATCAACGCCATCGGCGTCAACTTCAAGACCACAGGCATCCATTTTCAACACGCGAGGAAAAGGGAAGGATGCCGAGTTATACTTTAGCTAGTTCTGTCTCGAACTAATGGCCAATTGCGCTTCCTGTAGGTTAACGAAGAACCACAGATATAATATGAAGGAGTAGGGGGTTTTTATCGGAAGGTTTCCCCCTCATGTAAAATAACTATAAATAGAGTTTATAGCCACCTGCATGGGCCCATAGGGCCCCAAATCAGGATAATGAAATCAAATTCAAAATAATAATAATAATAATAATAATAATAATAATAATAATAATAATAATAATAATAATAATAATAATAATAATAATAATAATAATAATAATAATAATAATAATAATAATAATAATAATAATAATAATAATAATAATAATAATAATAATAATAATAATAATAATAATATAATAATAATAATAATAATAATAATAATAATAATAATAATAATAATAATAATAATAATAATAATAATAATAATAATAATAATAATAATAATAATAATAATAATAATAATAAAAAAACATCATCATTTGGTCAAAAGCGGCACCACGTTCCACGAACGTTATATCATCGTTTTAATTATTGCATTCATCTCAATCAATCACTCTTACTTGATCCCTCGAATTTTTTTCGTTGCGCTTCGGCATGGCGAGTTGGGGGACAGGAAAGGTGGATTTCACGGCTGGAAAATTTTTCACGGCACCACCACCACCACCAACGGATAGCGGAACAGCCGCAATAATGCTTGTAGAATCTCTCGCGACTTCTACAGGCATGAAATTGGAGAAACTAAAAACAGTGGCTTATTATTTAAACAGGGTCCGAGATAGACTGGCGATTGCAGGAACTGATAAATCTGCGACACCAATGGTCGAGATAGATGAGGTACTTGATGCCTTCGTAGCCCACGCCAAGATGTTTCGATCAAAGCTGACGGCTAACCCAATGGAAGATCGAATGTTGGCCTTAGAGAAGGTCGTAAAGGAGAGTCTCGAAAAGCCGGTCTGCAAGACTGCACCACAACCAGCGCCATTAATGGGAGGACGACCCACGTACGCCTCGATCGTCGCGCCGCCAGCCACCAAAGCGGCAGTACGGATTCGAGTAGAAGGAGCGAATAAGATGCAGCCGACAGAGCTGCTTAACAAGGCAAAACTACACATAAATGGGGCATACGCCGTAAGGCAGTTAAGGAGCAATGATACTGAGGTGTTCGTGCAGTCGGTCTCCCAGAGAGACGCTGCCTTGAGGATGGCGCAGCCCAAGGAGTTCTGCGTCCTAAAGCAGGATTACCCTGTTGAAATCTTAGGAGTCCCACTGGGGACAATAATTCATGGAGGAAAGAATGCCAACAACAGCGTGGCAATATTTAAAATGACAACGGAGACAAAAGCACGGATTCCAGGGATACAAATCAACAGGGTGAGATGGCTCTATGACGGGAAGGAGCACACCTGGGTGAAGGAAAATGGTCATACTCGAGGGTCAGTCATTGCGAGCTTACCGACCGAGGCTCTACAACGCGAAGTGATTCGAAATGGCATTGTAATGGACTCAATGTTATACACGGCCCAGCTCTGGTCACCCCGGGCACAAGTCAAGCAGTGCTTCAACTGCAGCCAATGGGGGCACACCCAAGCATCCTGCAACAAGGCAAGGAAATGTGGAGGGTGCGCGGGCACCCATCAGACCAGGGACTGTCCGAAGAAGTCGGTACTTTGCTGCAACTGTGGCAAGGCCCACTTATCGTGGCAGAAGGGGGCGTGTCCAAGCTTCGCGGCATACAAGGCCAACGTTCAGCGGGCACGGTATGGACTCATGGAGAGAACGGCCGAACTAAGAAGGGAGAGCGAAACACCAACGGAGTTACCTCAATCAAATACTGTTAACATACCAGACGACCATGGGTTCACGCTAGTGACCAACCAAAAGCCAGAAGGCTTCAAGAGAGGGCCGGGACGCCCGCGAAAACAAGTTCAGGTCCCAGCCCCATCACAACATCTATTTGCGCCATCGGGGTCGAAATCAAGACCACAGCCATCACTTTTCGGCACGCGAGGGCAGGGAAAGGATGGCGAGGTATACTTTAGCTAGTTCTATTTCGGACTAACGGCCATTTGCACTTACTGTAGGTAACGAAGGACTACAGACATAAAAATTTTAAAGGGGGAGGGGGTTTTTATCGTAATGGTTTCCCCCTCATGTAAATATATAGTTTTAGGTTTATAGTCACCTGCATGGGCCTTAAGGCGCCAAATCAGGACAATGAAATCAAATTCAAAATTCAAATTCAAATTCAAATAATAATAATAATAATAATAATAATAATAATAATAATAATAATAATAATAATAATAATAATAATAATAATAATAATAATAATAATAATAATAATAATAATAATAATAATAATAATAAGAATAATAATTCGCACCTCCAGCGACTAAAGCGGCAGTAAGAATAAGAATACAAGGAGCAGACAAGATGCAGCCGGCAGAGCTGCTAAACAAGGCAAAAACACATATTGAGGGGGCATACGCCGTAAGGCAGTTAAGGAGTAACGACACTGAGGTGTTCGTGCAGTCGATCTCCCAGCGAGATGCTGCCCTGAATATGGCTCAGCCAAAGGAGTTCTGCGTCTTGAAGCAGGATTATCCTGTTGAATTTTGGGAGTCCCATTGGGGACAATGATACATGGAGGAAAAAATGCCGACAACGGCAGAATTATATATCAAATAAAAACGGAGACAAATGTTCGGATTCCTGGAATCCAAATTAACAGGTTAAGATGGCTTTACGACGGGAAGGAGCACCAATGGATGAGGAAAAATGGCCATACTCGAGGGTCGGTGATCGCTAGCCTGCCGACAGAGGCTCTTCAACGCGAGGTGATTCGAAACGGCATTGTACTCAATTCAATGCTGTACACGGCCCAGCTCTGGTCACCCCGGGCTCAAGTTAAGCAGTGCTTCAACTGCAGTCAATGGGGGCATACTCAAGCCTCGTGCAATAGGGCGAAAAGATGTGGTGAGTGCGCGGGCACTCACCAGACTAGAGACTGCCCGAGGAAGTCGGTGCTCTGCTGCAACTGCGGCAAAGCCCATAAATCGTGGCAGAAGGGGGCGTGTCCAAACTTCGCGTCCTACAAGGTCAGTGTCCAGAGGGCACGGTATGGACTTTTGGAAAGAACGGCAGACTTAAGAAGGGAGGAACTAACAGCAGCGGCCACTCCAATATCAACAGCGGAAAAACAAGTAGACAACCAAGGGTTTACACTGGTTTCCAACCAGAAGGCAGAGGTCGG